CCCCGGGGGGATCTATCCTCCTGGGGATCTAAACAAAACGGTCAGGCGGCTCAAGTCGATTCATCCAATCACCCAACATGCTAACAGCTCAGCTCTTTTTCTCAGGCAAGCTTTAAAGTATCTTACCAAATGACCGCAACAGAAGACTCGGTCACAGGCGGCCCAGTCTTCACAGCTCTCGGCACCGCGCTTCTGCTATCTCTTAAACAATGCCAAACCACGATCTCCATCAACACCATGCTCCTCCTCCTTGCCATCATTGCCCGACGCAGCAAGCTAGAACACCAGCGGGGACTCGGCGAGCATAATAGGGGGTCCGCGCCCATATTCGCCGGCGTAGCCGCCGTCGCCCTGGTCGCGGTTTCGTTTGTCTTATTGAGGCACAGGTGCCGCGGCGGGGCTGGTCAGAAGAAGTCTAGGGAAGTCCGGCGCTCGGGCTGATTGGCTGCCTTTCTGCCGGCGTCGTGGGAGTTGTCGCGGGTGGGGGGGCGTGCTGGTGGTGGTGGTGGTGGTGGTAATACCAGGAGGCGGAGGATGACGGGGATGGGGAATTTTTTCGAGGGTGAGTCCGGGCGGCGGAGTGTGGAGGTTAGGGGGGCGCGGGTGAGGAATAGTGTGGTTGGGTTTGTTACGGGACGGCCGATGGGGATGGAGCGGTTGGAGGATATTGAGGAGAGGGAGGGTGGGAGTGGTGGTGGGGGTGCTGGTGGGGAGGGGAAGGGGGTGAAAGGGGATGGTGTGGTGGTGGGAGAGGCTAAGGGGGGGAGGACGACGGAGTTGAGGACTAGTTTTAATGGGTTGGGACAGAACAAGTGGTCGCAATAGTTACATATCGGCAGCAGTTGAACGCCAGAGGGAGCTCTTGGGCTAGGGTTAGGGTATTTGTTGCATGGATATTGGATTCTGTCTTGTTTGCTTGGAGTTGACAGGGAGCGTTGGGGATACCACCACGGCGATGTTTAGTTTGTTTTGGACCCTCTGTCTGTTGTATTTGATCTCTCGTCACCAAATAATATCCATAACCCAGCCCACCCAGGGGCTAGTGGCTACAGCACAGTTAAGCCAGTGGAATCGGCTCGGTTCCTAGGAGTCTGGCTGGACTGGAAGCTATCATGGAGGGCGCACCAACAAGCTGTGGAACGGAAACTCAAAACCCAAGATTTCGCCTTATCGAGGATTGCAGCAAAGACGTGGGGCCCGAGCCTATCCAGGGCTCGGGAGGTCTACGTAAAGTGCATCCGCAGTGCCATAGCTTACGGGAGCCTCCAGCTTCCACCAACCAACAGCTCCAAGAGCTACAGGGCCGAAGGGGCCTGCAAAGGTCTTGTCAAAAGCTCAGAACAGGAGCCTTCGAATAGTAGTAGGGGCATACAAGTCAGCTCCTATTCGGTGCTTAGAAACAGAGGCCTGGGTGCCACCGCTAGACCTATATCTCAACAAGCGGCTGGCCGACTTCGAGGGCCGGCTACAGAAGCAGGCCTTACAGTCAGGGGCTGGGCCGGAGGCTGAGAGAATAACCACGGGGCATCTAATTACTGAGGCCTGCAATAAGGTCTACCGAAGGTTCAACAAGAGGAGGAAAACCCGAGGCCGGAGGCCCCGTCAGGGCCCGCAGAGTCCCACGCCCACTGAACTAGCCGCTAGTGTAGTGGCCCAGTGGGTTAACTACAAATGGAAGATCGGGGGGAAGGATAGGGGGTCGAATACCAAGGAGGTGGTCGAACTAGCCTGGCAGGCCCGGTGGGAACAACAGAGAGCTAGTCAACAAAGTACTACTCGACAGAGGGTATTAAACAGGAGGATAGCCGACGAAGACCCCCCAGCCCTCTTATTTACCGACAAAGCTCTGATGAGACACGAAGGTCTTACAAAGGCGCAGAGCTCTCTCCTTTCCCAGGCCCGTATCGGGGATATAGGCCTCCGGGACTACCTGTTCAGGGTGAAAGTCCCGGAGGTCCGTACCCCCTATTGCGAGTGCGGGAGGGGCAGGGAGACAGTGGAGCACTTGGTGGTTTGGTGCCCCGACCCGCCGTTACAAAGGCCGTGGGACGGCAGAGAGATTCGGTCACATCGGGACCTACAAACCGTATTACGGGGAGTAGGTGCCCGGGAGCAGAAGATTTGTTAGGAAGGTCCTTGGCTGGCTGATGGACTCTGGCCGGCTACTGGAGTATAGGCTGGCCAGAAGGCTGGAGCTAGAAACAGTGGATGGGGAGGGCTAGAGGGCCCGGAGGCCGGCAAAGGGCCTCCTTTCTTTTGCAGTATGACGGATTCATAGATTGTTGACTCAAAGTGGTAGACAGAGGTTTTTATCCGGCCTATACGGTACGGTTTCCTTTGTAAATAGCAGTAGAAGGACCGGCGCGCCCACGGGCATATCGGTGTAGGAAATAATAATAATAATAATATCCATAACCCAACACTTGCTTTCTTCCCGTTCCCTGGCCCGAGCATCCGACCATCTCTTTCTGCAGTCACCGCCAAGAGCACATGCCATCCCCGCTCAAGTTCAGATTACAGGCCCGCTTAGCGGTCGGCCTCCAGGGGCGTGCCAGCGGTGTTCCTCCGATTGGCGGGCGCAAGACTTGGAATTGGGAGTGCTGCTTGGGATGTGTCATGCCGGCGACGGGGTGACTGAGAATGACACAGGATCCTGGTCTCTCAACCTTTGCTCTCGACTGGTGGCCATCGGTTCAGGAGGGAAGTCGGATTTTTTTATTCTTTTTCTTGTCTCCTTTTCCCCCTTTTATCCTCAAGGTTCCTTCTCTCTTCACGTTCCTCGGAGGGAACAAACCGGGATCCACACCCTTATCACGAAACCGCGGGGTCCGTCCGCTACTTCGGGTGCTCGAGACTGGCCACGCTGCGTTAACTGTCGCAACTCTTGCGCGCATACACCACACGGCACATCTCCACTCTAGGGAAGAGCAACGGGCGATCCAATGGCCATCACGCAATTGCCCCAGGGCCATGGTGAAGACTCCGACTCCGAGTCCCATCAGCATGCGCAACCAGGTCCAGTCCAATCCCCTCCGGTCCTGCGCGAGCACTCCCTCTCCAACGCCTCCACCGTGACGGTCGACATCGAGTCCTGGACCGTCGCTGCCCTCGAATCGTTGCGCATCGCCCCCATCGCCCGCGGCACCGGCAACGCCCTGTCCATCCCGCTCGACGATGCGCACCAGCACGCTGAGGTCCGGGATGCCGCGGGGATGAAGCTGCACGGCGTCGCATTCGACGGCCCCACCGACCCCTACGGCGCAACCATCGCCCCGCCCCGCCGCCCGCCCTCGCGCCGCGATAGCATGCGCAAGCGTGACGCCCTCGTCAAGGGCAAGGAGGGCAGCCGGCAGCGCAGGCGGTGGGAGAACGGTATTATCCACCCGCCCCTTCCCGTCCCATCCCTTGCCGTCCTCCCCCTAGCCACCCGCTCCATATCTACACATCATCAACCGGTCGCGCAACCCCCGCTAACCACCACCCCTCACCCCCCCATCTCGCAGACCACCTCCTCCACGTTCCCAACGTCGTCCCACCGCTGCCCTCCGACTGGCAAATCCACCCCACCCACCGCGTGCTACCGACCGTGCCCTACCAGCTAGCGCAGTACTGGGACAAGGGCCTGCGCGAGCGCGTCGAGGCCCAGAAGCAGCAGAAGCGCGGCAAACACCCACGCCGCAGCACCAACAACAACAACGACAACGCGGGCGGCCCCGGCCCGGACGAACCCGTGGGCCACGTGCCGCGCGACCTGCGCAACACGGCCAAGCGCACGCCGGCCGTCAAGTCGTGGCTGCGCGTGCTGGAGGAGCCCGTGCGCGCGTTTGTGGTCGAGCGCGGGCTCGCTTCCGCTTCCGCCTCTGTTGAGAGGGCTGTTGGGGGGAATGGGGAGAGTAGCAGTGATGAGACGGACTCGGACGACGAGGAGATTGTGTTTGTGGGGCGCAATGGCCGCATGCGTGATGGCAAGCCGTGGAAGCCCGCCCGGAGGCAGGTCGCTGGGCAGGGGGCGGACCAGGGCCACGGCCAGGGGGAGGGTGAGCGTGGGTTGGTGCTGGAGTTGGAGATGGAGGAGGAGGCGGGCGGTGGGGCGTTTAAGTGCGTTTTTTTTTCTTCTTTGTTTGTTTGCCATCCATCCATTCATCCCTTTCTCTCCCGTGCCCCTCCGCCGGCTATCTATCTACTTCAATCTGGTATGGTTGAGATATACTGACCCGCTCCTCGCAGACGCTGGCTCACGCACTCCATCTCGGACTACTACGGCCTCGACTCCAAGTCGGTCATGGTGGGCACCCCCGCGCGCCGCGTCGTCTACGTCGGCGCCAAGCAGAAACCGACGCAGACACAGACTGCGGCGCGGCAGAATCTGCCCAGCCGGCCTGTGCTGCCGCCGCCGCTGTGGGAGATGTTCTGAGAGGGCGCTGGCTGTCGGCGGTTGGTATATATATGCATACATATTTTACATTACTATGTGTACGTGCATGCATGAAGGAAAGGTAAAGGTGGTAGTTGCATCGTATATCTAGATTGGAGTGGCGTGGTAAACGCATCCGGCATCTGATATACAGCGTAGAATGGTGGCCTTGGCTTGCTCGTGTGTGGGAGTTCCTGCTGATATTCCTAACTGCTTCCTTTTTTCTCCTTGTAGCATCCCCGGCCGTCTTTAGGTACTAGGCTGTATCAACACGGCGGCTAAACCAGCCTGACCGCCGCGCTTCTGGCTCCAAGGCCAGGAGGCATTGAGACACGGAAGTGCCCACGGAGTTCAGCCGCCGTAAGTATGAGTGAATCTAGTTGGGGCTTAGGTTTCAGGACTCGCACTTTCATTTACACGCCGCCGTGCGTTTGATCCGCAGACAAGGTACACATTTCGGCTACTGCGAACAAGGCCGCGTTTTTACCGGAATTCAGACCTTGTGGCAGAATTCAGACCCTGTGGCAGCTGTGCCTGGCCTGGGGCATGGCAGGATGTATCTGAACTGACTTGATATCACAGTAGTGTGAAAGATTTGTTGCAAATATCAATGGCATCACATTTGGGTCATCCCAGCGTGTTCATTTCCGTTACTAACAGGACATACATTCGAATCCAAACGGATTACACACCAATATTCCCATCAGCCCTAGGTAGCTCATACCATCATATCCATTCCCTTCCACCATCACCACCACTCCCCCCTCGTCTCATCCAACCGACCGCCTAAGCAGACACGCCAAGAGCCGAGTTAAACGCATCAGCAGCGGCCTGGCCGGTGGCAGCCTGCGCCGCCTGCGAGGCCTGCTGGCACGCCTGGACGGTCTCCTGAGAGGCGTTGCAGGAGCTCTGCAGGCGGGAGCAGGTGAAGTCGGCGATGATGCGGATGGCCTGGGCGGAGCCGTGGTTGAAGTCGGCGTTGTTGACGTTCTGGAAGCTGGCCTCCTTGCGGCCGTCGAGGCCGACAGCGAACTGGATGGCCGGGCTGCCGCAGCCGCCAAAGTCGAGCGCGTTGGCCTGGCGGCGGGACAGCGTCGACCGGCGCACCCTCTTCAGCGAGTTGGCCGCGCGGCACTCGGTCTCCTGCGCCTCGCACTGCTGCGTGCCGCCCTCGATCTGGCCCGAGTTGGCCGCGTTGGCGCACGCGTTCTTTTGCACCGAGCACGACCGCTGGAGGGCGGCGCCGGCGGTGGTGAAGGTCGCGCCGTTGACGGCGAACGGCCTGTCCGAGCCGGCGGTGCTCTCGACGGGGGGCGCGACGCCGCCGAGCGAGCCGGTGAAGGTCTGGACGTTGACGGTGCCGGTAGCGTTGTCGCCGGCTCCATTGTCGGCTCCAGCATTACCGGCACCGTTGTCCACAGAAGGGTCCACAATGACGGTGCATGCTACGGTATTGTTAGTATTTAATGCATACCACCTTTAGGCGAAGCGGTAACTTACCGTCACCGGCACCGGCATCATCTCCGGCACCAGCACCAGCATCTCCGCCCGCGCCCGCCCCCGCATCGATACCAGCAACGGCGGCCTGGATTTCATCCTCAGTGACGGCCGGGGTGAGGAGGTTCAGGGTGAAGATGCAACCATTGGCATCATCGATATCGTTGCAGGTTTGGCCTGCAGCGGTCGGGTCACCGATCTCAACAGCGTTAGTTTGGGATGCTCCTACTACATTAAATATCGGAGAGCTTACCTCGCCCGGGGGGAATGTGGCGCTCTGGAGGGCAAGAAGGGGGTCGGCGCCGATGGATGCCAGCGACTTGGCGACCTCCAGCTCAATGGCCGCGTTGCCAGAGGCTTCAGGAGATGCAGGATCTTGGTGCTGCTGGATGTTGGCAATCTCGGGATTGACGGCCGTCTCGTTGCAGAGCACGCTGGCCAGACCAACCGATCCCGTGTTGCGTTCGAGGGCGCGGAACAGGATGGCCTGGATCTGGCCGTCGAGATCACCAGCCGCTTTGGCGTTGGTGAAGGCCTGGTCGGCGATGATCTGCTGCAGGCAGTCGAGGTTGTCGACATTGGGGGCGCCATCGGCAGCAGCGGCATTGCCCAGGAGAGCGAAGACGGTGTCTTGGATCTCAAGAGGGTTGTCGAGCTGCAGGGCGTCGTTGGTGGCCCGCAGGATAGATTCGTGAGAGTGCTCCTGGGGGACCTCACGCTTCGACACCTTACGCGAGTAAAGGTTGATCTCACGGGCCGAGGCCAGGCCCGCGAGGGCAACCAAAGCAGTTCCGTACTTCATATTGTCGTAAAAGTTCGTAGCGATCGACGCGATATTAAACAGTTGAAAAATGAGGCCCGGCCTAACGAAGAGAAGGATTATACCAAAAGAGTGTAGAAGAAATCAAAAAAGTTCACAGAACTATAAAGAATGGAATTGAAGATTGGAAGAAGCATGGTGAGAGGAAACAGGATCTGATCTTGGAGGGATGGGCAGAAACTTATATACGGCGTGCAACGCACCCCACGCCCCGAATCCAGATGGCAGACTCTCGGTGCCCCGTCTCTTGATGGGCATGGGCCATGAGATCCTCTCTCTCTCTCGCTTAGGAGCCGTGAACCAGCGATCCAAAAGCGCGGGAGGGATCACAGCAAGCCTGCCCTTGCCGATACTCCACGACCGAGCCGCTCCCCTGGAAGACCGTCGCCGGCTCGCCTCAGCTCCGGGACGACCTGGTCGTCAAGGGCGGGCCTCACAGGTTCAATTGAGCCAGGGTGGGAGGCAGGGGTGTCTTCTTGGTGGCGTAACGGGTTTGTCTGTTTGACATTTCCCATGCTTGGAAAGATTGGCGGCACCTTGCACCCACGGTTTCGAGAGGCGCTCGCTTGGACCTCCTCAGCGAGGCTTAACGCGGACAATCTGGTCCTCGCTTGGCGTATATTCCATCTCAGCAGCAACCCCAAGAGCAAGTGGAACTGTCGAGAATTTGCTGCCTGGCTTGTTCAGCCAAAGCGGGCAGTCGCCACGGTCAACGAGCAAGGCGCCATGGGCTGCTGATAGACGAGCATGTCAATTGGCGTACACCTGAAGCCCCCGCCCCTTCCTCACTTCTGTGAATGCAAACGCGCCATACAGTCCAATGGGGTTTGGTATTAATTTCTCGAGCGGGTGACATCAGATCAGACGAGACATGGGACAAAGTTCGTCTCAGCTTCCTTCTTGCCCTGTTGGTAGGAGGAGCCGCATGCAAGCCATTGGCAGGCACCGGAAGCTCCCGCGATCTGGGGTTGCGATTGCAGGGATCGCAACCCCTGTCGCTTCGTGGAAACGCCTTGTGTCACTGCTGATGCACAGACGCAAGCGAAGGTCCTCTCGCTATCTAAAGCGCTGCAAAATTTTAATGTAAAACTGTTAAGCAGGGCAGTCAAATGCCCAGCCGCGGAGAATTCCTCCGACGCAACAGAAGCAACCGCTTTGCATCACGACCTCCCAGTTTCCCCTTAGCAGCCGCCCACGTTCGTGCCCCCTCTGTCCCAATGCAGACTCCGTCCAGCCTCCGCCCAGCCTCCGCCCAGCCTAATTGGGATACGTGATGCCCCTCTCTGGGCGGGGAGACATCAGACGAAACGGCACTGAAGAGCAGGAAACGGGTTGACGGCGAATCGTGCCGGTGATCATATGTGCTATCACCATCTTAGCCCTTTCGGTATCGGGAGCGACCAGGGAGTATACGTGGGATGGCTTCTCTGGTTTCTCTCGAGAGAAGGAAATCGTCTTGCTTGCCTATCCATGGTGTATAGGTCGTTTGCTTTGCGAAAAATATCTAGCGTGACTTGACGGCCGAGAGAATTATGCTCCAGGACAACAAATCCATGCGCGGGACCTTACCCTAAAGTTTAGGTCATTACGGCTATTTCCACATCCCATCTCATGACGTCGGCATGGTCTGTTTTCAGGATGGCCACAAGAGATGACCTCACTGCCGTCTTGCAAAGAATAGCGACACTTTCTCGGCGCGCGGCCCGCCACCCAGAGCTGAAACACCACTCAGAGCATGAAGCCGGCTCTGCGTTGCCCGATGCAGTCAGCAGGTTGGAGGGGCCAGCGTGCATGAACCGTCCAAGGGGCTTCCCCAAAAGATGCCATCCCAAGAAGCAGGTATGATCGGCACATAAACTTCGCTCCATCATCAACCAACCAACGGCATGAACCGCGGCCCTGTACAATGCTAGAATACACTTTCCCGCGGCTGAGATCGCTCAGGCGCTTACCATAGGCCGACCATATTCTGCACACCATACCAAGTGCCGGATAACCAGGCCTTCACGCTCGGGTGGCAGGCTCGGCACCAACGACGAGGCTCCGATCGTGCCCACAGACTCTTGATTCCCCAGCAACCCGCTGTTGGGACCGCCAGGGGCCAACTGTTTGTGCGAATTCCCGGGACTCCACAATGCCCATCATACCTAACACTCCCCTTTCCATGGATCGTCAGCTCAAGATGTGCATCCCCAAGGCAAGGGTCCGTCTAACAGATCCTTCAAGTTACACCACAAGACAGCGGAGAAAACAAATACCACGAGGAGTTGGCGGGACGCGCCCAGTCTCTTATCTTGCCTTTTGTACAATCGACTTGATCAGAACAAGGTCTAAGCGGAAGAAAGCTAGCGGAAAAGGAAAATGCCCAAACTCAAGCAGCAGTCAGGCTTGCTCCGTGGTTTATGGTCTATCAGGGCGCGCTGCAACTGGGAAACCCTGCGAACGCTCTCTTTTGTTTCGCCGAAACCCCGTACTGTACTAATACACCGCCGCCATTCCCCTTCTCGATCCTCCCATCTCGATCCCATCTCGGTCCGTGATGATCCTTCGCGGGTACGGGTTGATGCTTAACCGACAACCAGCTTGCCGTCGTCAGAGAAGTCGTACGTAGGGATCTCGAGGTTGAGCGGGGCGGGTCCTTTCCTGATGCGGCCCGAGATGTCGTAGTGGGAACCGTGGCAGGGGCAGAACCATCCGCCGAAGTCGCCGGCCTCGCCGATGGGCACGCAACCCAAATGTGTGCAGACGCCTGGTGCGGTCCATTAGTTATCCTGCCATCCCCCATCACATGCCAACCTGCTTCCGGAGACATACCCAACATGACGAGCCACTCGGGCTTCTTAACGCGCTGGTCGTCGGTTTCGGGGTCTCTTAATGAGGCAACGTTGATGCTGTTGGCCTCATCGATCTCGGCGGCGGTGCGGTGGCGGATGAAGACGGGCTTGCCTCGCCACTTGATGATGACCTGCATGCCGTCAGCCACGCCCCCTAAGATATTTCGTGAAATCACAACTTACGTTCTTGCCCTCGGGAATAGCCGCGAGGTCGACCTCAACCTTGGGCCATGGGCCAAAACATCGAGCTCGAAGCAGACATGTTTGACAAGGAACTCTACACAGTTTCAACGTCAGCTCCCATTCTCAAAGCTACTCAACCGACCCGAATTAATGAAAAACCTCCCTCCCCCCCAACCGACCCCCCTCCCCACCAAACCATAACCTCCCCTCTCCCCCCCTACCCCCTCCTCCCTGTCCAGAATATATGTAAAAAAAAAAGAAAAGAAAAAAACACTCACGCTGAATCGTCGACTTCGCCCCCGCCGCCGAGATCGCGCCCAGGGTGCCGACCATAAAGTACGAAAACAGCGCATTGGTGCTGCCGGAGCCCTTGGACATGTACTTGGAGAAGTCGGGGACGTTGGTCTTGGACTCGCCCTTGAAGGGGCTCTGGTAGCTGGAGGAGGAGGACGACGAGTCGCGGAGGGCGGGCGTCGAGCTCATGGCGCGGACCGCCGTGGCCGTGGCCGGGGACCGGCAGGCGGCGGCAGTGGCCGACCGCGTGAGGGCGCGCGACACAGTCTGGAGGGGCGCCATTTTGTTGGTTTGTGGGGGGTGGTGGTGGGTTGGGTTGTGGGTGTGTGTGTCAATTCGGCGCCGTGAGCGGGGGGCGGAGCGGGGAGATAGTTGTCGTCGCTGTGATCCGCGCGGAGGGGGACGGCGGGGCGTGGGAACGACGGGATCGTTGGTGGTGCGTTGTCGACGTCGGCCGAGTCGGGTCCGTGGACTGAGGTTTTTCAGGAAAGGCGCTGTTTCTGGGCCGAGCGCCGTTTCCACATTTCCCGGGGTCCGAGGGGAGCTGTTGTGTGGCCTGAGGCAGCAAGCTCAGACAATTAGCCGCTTGCTCATTGGCCGCACACCACTCCGGCTTCTCCCGTGTGCCTTGGCAGCTGGCTGTCACGTCGAGCCAGTGTGTCAATTCCAGGATCACCATCGCCACAAGCACCCTGATCTTGAGTGCCTGACAAGTGCAGGACTAAAAAAAAGTCCGGAGAGGCCAATTGCGCCAGAAAAACTCTATTTAAACTTCCATACCACAAACCCGACGCAGATGACTCAGATATACAAGGTTAGTGCATACGGCGGAGCTCTTCAACCAAGTTGCGCATGTCCTCGACAGTTGGACCCAATCCCTTGCAAACAGCTTCCTGGGTCGTCTCATCCACGTCCAAGAACTTTTCCAGTAGCTCCCCGTCCACAAATCGGAAAGGCCCGTCGCCCTCCCGCTCCGCATTCCTGAACGCCCTGTATGTCCTGAATTCAATATCCCCGGCCGTCTTGAGGACATCTGCCAGCCTCGACTGGAACCGCAATAGTAGATCCTGGACATGTGGTGCAACTGTTCCAAACATGTAGATGCCGCCTTCGACCTGTGACAAGAGCCAGTTAGTAAAAGAAACGTCCACTTTCATCCCAGAAGGAAAAAAAAAAAAAAAAAAAAAAAAAGTGGCATACCGTCCCCAAAAACGCCTTCGGCACAATCATCGCCCCCGGCGTAGTCTCCACATCAATTGTCCGTATCCGATTCACCATCTCGTTCAAATTAATCTCGCTCGTGACCTCCATGCGACGCTTATCCTCCGCCGTGACGCCCTCCACATTCCGCCTCAGCACCATCAGGTTCCCCTGCGCGTCCGCCTCGAGCCAGCTCCCTTCCTCCACAAACCCGACCGCCGTAGCCCAGACGCTGCTAAAGTGCCGGGCGTGCTCAACCAGCCGCGGCCCATCATCACTGCCACTCTCACCGCTACCGCTACCGCCGCCGCCGCTGCCGCTGCTGCTGCCGGCAGGGATATACTCCACCAGCGAGATGGACTTCATCAAGTCGGCCACGGCGATGGTGCTGCCGCGCACCGCGATCTCGGCCGGGTAGCTGGAGGGACGGTACGAAGCGAGACGAGTAAGCTCGGCGGTGGTGGAGCTAGTCTCATCATAGCGGCAGACGACGACGGTCTTTGTCAGCCCAGCAACGATGAGCCCTGCGGCGTTGGGGCCAGCGTCCTCGCCCAGCACGGCCAGACAGCGGCAGGCGCCCTTGAGGTCGTGGCTGAGGACGAGGTAGGGGTTGCGGTCGGCGTCAACGCCCAACACGAGCAGGCGGCCGCGGGCGTCGGCGGCGGGGCCGGGGCCCGGGCCGTAGTCCGGGTCCGGGAGGAAGCTGGTGCCGACGAGGAAGCGCTCGGCCGGGTTGCCGTACGAGTCGCGCAGCTCGGCGCGCACGACGCACTCGACGAGCTCCGTGCGGGACGGGACGCCGAGCGGGAACGTCTTGCCGACCCGGTCGAAGATGACCTCGTCGACGAGCTTGAAGGACGACTCGACGATTTCCTCGCCGTTGACGAGTTCGCGCCGGATGCACCCTAGGCCGAAGACTTTTTCTTTGGGGGAGTAGGCGATGCGGCGCACCATCTCGTTCATGGGTAGTGGTTTGACGTGGGTGCGGCGCTCGCGGTCGATGTGGGAGATCTTGAGCTGGTTATCGGTGGCTAGGACGATGCAGTCTGGGAAGGCTTCCGTGTCGAAGGGGCAGATGTAGGTCGCTTCCTCGGCTGTTACCGCCGAGTAGACTATCCGCCCTTCGGAGCCGTAGATAAGACTGGGGTGTTCTGTGGTTGCAAAGATACTGTAAATGTGTGGTGCGTCGGGCTGCGGGAGGAGATGAAATCGCGCCTGGCGCATGCCCAGAATGACGCGTTTCCTCCCGGTGAGCCTGAAGTTTTCGGAGAGGTTGAAGGTGATGACGTTACCATCTTGCATAGCGACGAACAACGTTCCTCCGCCCACGTTATCTAGCAGCTTTACAAGAGCGAGATCACGGGGGATCGAGGCGTCATCCGGGGATGTGCGGAGCTGCTCTCCGTGCATAGGCTCAAGTGATGGTAAGTCGATGATGGAGACGGTTCCGGATGACCAGAAACCCACCACGGCGAGATCGTTCCGTAGTGGTGGAACATGGATGCAAGCAATCTGGTCCTGGTAACCAATCTCCTTTGTGCGCACGAGCCGTAGGTTAATGTCAATGCTAAACAACACGAGCTCGGTGCCGTCTACAGACAGCAGAAGGGACTTGTTGTTTCCCGACGCGCTTATGATGCTCTTCTGAGCGCCGGGCGTCCACGAATCTATCGTGAGACCACTTTCAGCGTCCAGAAGTGTGACGGCGGCCGGGGTGACCTGAAGGATTTGCGCCGTCGAGAGACACCTCGCCAACAGTGTTTGCTGATTGAATGTCATGCCGGCGAACGAGTCTAACTCCTCCACTTCGCCTTGAGGATCGAATTTGAACACCCTCGTCTCCGTCAAGAAGGATGCTGCCAGAATATTGGTTTTGGGGGCCTCATAAGTCTTGAGAGAAAACAATCCCCGGCAGTGCTCTAAATCGGCGAGGATGCCCACATCCTCCAGGCCAACGCCGCTTCGTACGCTCCGAAGCGACCCGTCCTTGTGTACGCCGCTACATGTGACGATCCGGGCCTGGCCCGACGAGTATTCGTTCCCTTGCTGGCCTTCATCGCCTCGGCCCATGTCCATGATTGCAAAGTCCAAGATGGGGCCAATGTTGGCGAGCGTCTGAACGAGTTGTATCGGGGGGACGTCCTCATTCTGGAAATCCAGCCGGAACAATTGGCTGTCGCCATAGTGTGACGCAACGAACAGCATGTCACCCCCAAGAAACACGAGATGGCTTGCGCGAGACGTCTTCCCGATGCGGTTGACCTCCATGCTCGTCACCACAACGCTATCCGGGCTTTCCCTAACCAAGGTGAGCAGATGTAAGTTCCCATAATCATCGGCCAAGAAATAATTGGTCTCGTTGTACTCGGCCCAGGCAACGAAGATGGACGCCTGTTTTAGAGCTGATTGTACCGTCGCCTTCGTGACCTCATCAATGTATAGCAGCCTCGTCTCGCCCACGACTAGTAGCCCCCCGATATGCGCCTTGGCCGATTCGACGTTCCGGACGTTGTGTCGCTTGACTTCCTCCTCGACCTTCCGCACGGGTATCAAGATGGATGCGCTGGGATCGGGTATATCGGTGTCGATCTCCCTGTCCCTGTCGGGGTCAAACTTCGAGGCCTCGGTGTTCCGGTCGTCGATCGTCATGCGGTATGTTGCCAGCTTCGCGTCGGCCGAGTCGGCCCGGCTCTGGTAGAGGAAGGCAATCTTGGGGTGTCCCGTTTCCGTATAGAGGAAGGTGCTCGCCTTGATGAAGAGCTCGGATAGCCGGACCTGATCCATCCATGCCAAACCCCTCTTGTTCTTTCTTTCCCCCAACCGCAGCATGGTCAACACCCCTTCCCAGAGGTGCATCGCCAAGTATCGGCCCGACGGGTCGACTAAACATCGATCCTGGCTCTGCGAGTCTCGCATGTGACGCTCGCCCGGGTCTGTGAAAGGGTCTATCGTATGGAGCTGTGACGTTTCGGGATTCCACGCGAGTGTGAAGTATTCGAAACGCTCCGTTCCGACAAAGAGCAGGTCTGTCTTCGAGTCTTTCGGGCGGAGCTTTTGGAGGATGGAGATGGTCCCGTTGACCATTTTTGAAGTCGACAGCGTAAGCATGCCCTCCGAAAGCCGCCATATCTCTAGTCTATTAGCTTTGCTGCCTCGGTTTGTTAGTTTTGAAGGCTCCAAACTCTGAGCAGAGCAGGGCAATGAAAAGGGTGCGTTCTTACGCAATCACCAAGCTCTCTACTTCATCCGAGAGAATGTGAGTGCGCAGGGCATGCCGCACGCTGCTCGGCCGGTGGACGGGAGCTATGTAGGCCATTGCGACGGAGAATGGCGACGGCGGGTTGCGGGAGCGGAATGATGGCTGTTACATTCGTGGAATCCGGGGCTCACGAGAGCTCCCTGGTTGGGTGTGATGCAATGCCGGAGATAAGATACAGCTCCAGGCCGGCCTCAGCGGTACCCCCTCCGATCGCGTCGCGGGGAGCTGCAACGTGCAACCCAATCACTGATCGCAGTGCTTAATTGGGTGGGGCGTCAAGAACAGAGCACACAACGCCGAGCTTTCCGGGAGGGTGGAAGTTTCACGAAGAGGGTTGTAAAACACGAAAAGTTGGATCGAGTTGCGAGATGCTGAAATATAGCTAGGTGTCTGAGTTGACATGCGAGGCCTTCTAGATAACTATTGCAAACTAAATTCTCACTCAATAAACTTTCCGTCGGCTAGGTGATACCCTTCCCCCGCTTCAACTTCTGGGCGAGCTTTAAGAACTCGAACACGAAGGGCATCGAGACACTTGGCACTAGAAGAACAGCGGTCGCGTCCGGGATCCATCATCCAACATACAGGAAAATAGTGCTTCTTCTTCGCAACCCGAGCAGTGCCCGAGTGTACAATGAAAAAGTGGTTTGCGTCGTCCAGAGGCAGTGTGATACTGGAGACACGGTGGGATTCAGGCTCGGCAAGCCGAGTGGACTGAGTCCCGAGGGACAAAAATTAATTTAATCAAATAAATCTACTCCGTAGAGCAGTTTCAGAGATTAAACTGAAAAGAACAGATACTACACTTGATCTAAGCCAAAAGGCAAAGAGAGCTAAAGAAGAAAAAAGAAAGAAGAGGAAATTTTGGGGGAGGAGCCGAATATTTATAGCGAGAATGTGGTGGTCTGTGCACGACTGCAATTGCGCAAATTGCAGTTGCTTGCACGTGATTCCAGTGTGGGGCGCTGTCAGACCACACATGTTTGTCTCCGCTCTCTCTCAGACTCCAACCCATCCACCGGCCCACATAGAAATGAAAAGGGGTTTGTTTGTTTTGGGACTGAAAAGAAAAGCGTACGACGGGTGGAAGTCCCAAACACCTCCGTCGACTAAACTGCATAGGATTTCCAGGTCCCTAGTCATCGACGAGCACCATTCTCTCTTTCTGGAAGTAACATCCTGTTCTGCCGCTGCCCATTGTGTCCTTCGCATTAGCTTACGCCGTGCCGGGGAAACTACAGCTTGGAAGAAGTGGTGTTGCCGTATGAGTTGGCCACCATGTACCAGGATCAGAGAGACTAGGTACCTACAAGTTAGACTACGGCAGTGCCCGCACGGTATTGAAGAATGGCCATCTGTGTTTCTGCAGTAGCTCGAAATACTAATGACTTGCGTCGTTTTACTAGGGAGCTTTCGGTTAAAGATGACTTATTGCTTTCCGATTTTGCTAGATCACCTTTATTTCATACGAAAATCAAGAGCGTTGGGATCTAAACTTTTTGTGCTGGTGCTCAAAGATTGTGGCGGGCAACTCATTCTCCGGTGAATGGCCGGAGAAACAATAGGGTCAGATTCTCATCATTATTGTCATATCTGCTTTTATTGACAAACTGAACAATAAAAATATCTTCACGCCTCTAAAAGACCATGAGGTCCTTGTGTGATGTCGCCCTCCATATCTTTCCTTTTCTCCAACCCGCGATTTCAGTTCTTAACCCGACTTCTTTGATCGTTTTCTTCTCCAGTTCACTCTCTGTCCTCTCAACAACAGTAAATCCCAACTACATCGGCCACCAACAGACAAAATGGCCAGCCTTCCTCCTCGTCCTGTCTTCACCAACCTGGGTAATGCTGCGCCCACTTACAACGGCCATCGGAACTCGAACCAGCGTAGCAGCACGAACTCGAAGAACTCACCCAGCCCCGGGCACTACCACCCCTACGCCCGCCGGTCCAGTACTCCCAGCAAATTTTCTCCCATCCCTCCGTGGCGCCGTGACAGAGCCCGCCAGAAACGCCGGTCCGGGCCGCCATGGCATCACCACCCTCACCGAGTCGCGAACCAAGTGTGCCGGCAGAACCCGGCGATAGCCACCCCTCTCCGACCACCACCATCGACGCCGCCCAACACCACCAACTAACCGTTTACCAAAAACGAACCCGGAGATGAATGGTAACAACGAACC